CTTCACAGGGGAGAGTGCCACATGGGTCAGGATATCTGCTACTATTGCCATGAGCCTGGACATTTTGCGAGTCGCTGTCCGAAGAGACTTCAGTAGCAGCCCCAACAGCCTCTGCAGCCACCACAGCAGCAGCAGCCACGTCAGCAGGCACAGAGGCCGCCTCAGCAGCAGCAGCAGAGGGGCAGACAGCAGGCCAGGGTCTACGCGGTTGATCAGGCAGAGGCAGCACAGCAGCCAGGTACTATGTCAGGGATGGTTGTGCTTAATGATATTCCTGTTTTCGCTTTGTTCGATACTGGAGCAACGCATTCATTCATATCACGACGATGTCTTGATGCCATCGGAGTTCATGCCGTTACCGCTGTAGATCCTCTCGAGGTGATTTTAGCCTCAGGACGAAAGATAGTGACTTCAGCTAAAGCCTCAGATCTTAGCCTTTCCATCGGTGGCCGAGTATTGTCTACCGACGCGTTTGTTCTCGAGATGAGGGATTTCGACCTTATTCTCGGAATGGATTAGCTATCCTTCTATCATGCAGATATCAGATGTCATGACCGGGAGATCACTCTCTATCTTCCGGGAGACGAATCGATCACTTTCTTTGGCTCCAGGAATCGTTCATTGCCTCATGTTGTTTCGATGGCGAAAGCCACTAAGCTACTGCGACGAGGCAACTGCCAGGGTTATCTGGTGAGCCTTGTCGACGATTCTCAGAAAGCGCGATCACCTCATGATGTTCCAATTGTTCGCGAGTTTGTGGACGTGTTCCCAGACGAGCTTCAAGGAGGACCACCTAACCGGCAGGTGGAGTTCTCTATCGATCTTATTCCAGGGGCCGGTCCAGTATTCAAAGCCCCGTATCGTATGGCGCCTAAGGAAATGCAGGAGCTTAAGACTCAAATTCAGGAGTTGTTACGACTCGGTTTCATCCGACCGAGCGTGTCACCGTGGGGAGCACCCGTTCTCTTTGTTAAGAAGAAGGACGGATCCATGCGCATGTGTATCGACTACCGGGATCTTAACCGGTTGACGATCAAGAACAAGTATCCGCTTCCCAGGATCGACGATTTATTTGATCAGTTGAGGGGAGCCTGTGTTTTCAAAGATTGATTTACGATCAGGCTACCACCAGCTGAAGATTAAGGAGTCAGATATCGCTAAGACCGCTTTCAGGACTCGTTACGGCCATTAGGAGTTCGTCGTCATGCCATTCAGTCTCAGCAATGCGCCAGCTGTTTTCATGGACCTCATGAACCGTATTTTCCATCCTTACCTCGATCAGTTTGTTATTGTCTTTATTGACGATATTCTTATCTACTCGAAGAGCCAGAAGGAGCAC